CAAAGGGAGCTACTTCTCTTGCTTGACGGAAACCTCACTTCCTGCCAGTCTATCATCCACAGCAAACGTCTCCATGGAGAACTTTGGAAGCATGGGAAATTCTACCTGCATCTGACAGCATGTTGTGTACAAAGCCACATGCAAAGGACATTTATTGCAGTTCTGTTTCAATAATGTAAAAAAAAATGAAAACAACCTAAATGCCCTTGCATTGGACGAGTATATTATAAACATAGAACAATAAGCTGATAAAACGAATTGAGTTACAGATGCTGATATAGATCTCCAAAACATATGAACTAAAAAAGGCAAAGTACAGAATAATACATATTTTTTGCCCCACAGGCATGTATTATCTGCTCAAAAAGAATAAAGTACTGGGTCGAGTGCAGTCGCTCATGCCTGTAATCCCAGCACTTTAGGAGGCAAAGGCAGGCAGATTACCTGAGGTCAGGAGTTCGAGTCTAACCTGACCAATAAGATGAAACCCTGTCTCTATTAAAAATACAGAAATTAGGCAGGTGTGGTGGGATGTGCCTGTAATCCCAGCTACCCAGGAGGCTGAGACAGGAGAACTGCTTGAACCCAGGAAGCAGAGGTTGCGGTGAGCCAAGAGCAAACCATGACACTCCAGCCTAGGCAACAGAGCAAAACTGTCTCCAAAAAAAAAAAAAGAATAAAGTAATAAAGTAAATTTTAAAGTCTACGCATACATATATTTGCTTTTATACACAACTACACAAGGAGCCACTGGTAACAATTATCCCTAAAAAGTGGAAGCTGAATCTGAGGCAAAGGGGGACCTAAGATTTTCTTGGATATCCTTATGTACAATTTGAATGTTTTATCATGAGACTATATTAATTTTCCCATCTAATTTTACAATGAAATGCAGTTGTTGAAAGTATATGACCTTTGACCTGGAATTCTACTTCAAGGACTTCCTACCACATGGGAGAACTGCAGGCATATTTACTGATATCCCTTGCTAACTGTAATGGCTGTAATTTAGAGACTACCTCAATATCTATCCCTAGAAAACTGGTTAACTGCATATCTATTAATATATGCATACATATCATGTGATTCTCTGTAATAATTAAAAATGGTGATTTAGAGCTACATTTACTGACATGGAAAGATGCATAATATTTTTGAATGAAAAAATATAAGACCATAGATTTTATTAATGTATACATATATTCATAGAGTCATCCAGAAAGATAAGGAAAATACTGTCTCCTGATTGTAGAGTTAGGGTTTTAATTTAAGAATACATTTCTGGACTATTTGAATTCATCACAATGGTCATTATTTTTATAATGAGAAAAAGAAAAAGCTATTTTCCTTTTTTTTTAAAAAAATAACTATCTTGAATAGTATGCAGTAAAAAATTAATAAATGGCATCTACAGGTTTAGCTTCAGTAACACAGCCAGGAGAGAACCACAAATGGCAGTGAAGCTTTTCAATGCTTTGCTCTGAATGATAAGGCTAACCATCAAAGTACCAAAAATGCTGGATAAAACCTACAAAATGTGTTAGGACTTAAGCCTTGGTGTCCAAAAATCTTTAGCTGAAGTTTTATTTCATTTAAAGTATTTTATTTAACCCAGACACTTCATTATCTCCCTTGCCCTCCGAGTCACAGGTGACACTTCCTATCTCTGACTCCTAGAAAGACATCTTCCTGGCTGTTTTTCTACCTACAAGCTGCTAGTATTTCTCCAAGCTGCCCTATACAGCCAATAAGCTGCACACTCCATAGTTCCTGTTATACAACAGGGCAACGTTGGGTTTTCTCCTCCTTTCTAGACTCAATTCTTGGCCTCCTGGTAGACCTCTCTTTCTTCACACTCTATACAAGGCCCTTTTCTTGTATACACTCTCCCTAGGCAATTTCACAACCACTCAAAGCTGCTACTTTAAGTACTTTAAGTACATAGTCTAACTCTATCCAGACTCCTCTCTTGAACACTACATTTCCGTATCTGCCTAATGGACATTTCTTCTCAGATGTACCTAAAATTCAATATATCATAGCTCAATCATCATCTTCCACCTCAAGCTTGTTCCTCTTTCTTTTGCCTATGGGAATGGCAATATCCAGCTGCCCAAGCCAGAAACCTGGGCAACATCCTTGGTTGTCACTCATTCATCTCTCATATCCAGTAAATCAACAAGTCCTATCAATTCTCCCTCCTCATCCCCTCTCACTTCTCTAATTCGAGTCGCTAACATCTCTCACCTGGATTACTATTACATTATCCTAACCATAGCTTCCTATTGCCATTCTGATTGTGTTACCAAGCAATCTTTTTTAATGAGAAATAGGACCTTATTACTATCTGCTTAAAACCCTATGCACAGTTCCTACTGCCTTCGGAAGAAAGTACGCAGTCCATGACATGATTTATAATCTGCTTACTTCCCCAATTTGATTATTTATACCTCTCCCTCCACCCCGCCAAGATCTGGCACCAAAATTCTTTCAATTGTCTCACCATATATACCATCTTTCCTTTATATCTTTGTGCATGCTACTCAGTGGCAGCTTTAAAGAACAGCTTCCCCACGCAACATACAAGCTCCCAAAATTACCTCAAATAAACAATTTAAGTTACAACTTGCTTACTACATATTACTGCACTCTCTCTTCAACTAGACAGCAGCTTCTTCCTCATAAAGTAATTCTGGAGCCACGAGTGCTACCTCTCTCACCTGCACTGTAACTCCTCAAACCCCCACTAACTCTTATTTATTGCCCATTCACAATTTCTAATTATCTTTCCAGTCACAAGTGAAATATACTTGAGCCCCCCAAGGGCAGATTAGGTACTTTCATGGCAACCTACAATTTTCCCTACTGCTGCCCTTATCCTACTATATTATAATTGTTTACTTGCCTGTGCCCCTCAAAAGTCTGTAAGTTCCCTAAAGAGTTATTAAACCATGGGCTGCTCACTGCTGAATCACCTAAATCTGGCACAGAACCCTGGCATAGTTGGTGGGAATGTAAACTAGTACTGCCACTATAGAAAACAGTATGGAGATTTCTCAAAAAAACAAAAACAGAATTATCATTCAATCCAGCAATCAAAGAGATACTGGGTAGCTCTACCCAAAGGAAAAGAAATCAGTATATCGAAGGGATACCTGCACTCGCATATTTACGGCAACACTATTTACAATAGCAAAGGTATAGCATCAAAGTGTCTACCAGCAGATGAATGGATAAAGAAAAGGTGACGTATATTCACAATGGAATAATATTCATCCACAAAAAAGAAGGAAATCATGTCATTTGCAGCAACATGAATGGAACTTGAGATCATTGTGTTAAGTGAAATAAGCCAGGCACAAAAAGACAAATATCGTATGTTCTCATTCATATATGAGAGCTAAAAAAGTGAACACATGGATGTAGAGAGTGAAAAACAGATAAAGGAGACTCGGAAGGGTCAGTGGGGAGGGAGGAGAGGATGCGAAGTCAGTTAAAAGGTGCAGACATATAGTAAGATAATAGAAATAAATTCAATGTTGATAGCAGTGTAGGAGTACTATACTTAACAAAAATGCACTGCAGTCTGGTGATAGACTTCCTAAACACCCAGACTTGGCCACTATGTGTTTTATACACATAACAAAATTTCTTGTGTGCCCCATAAATTTGTACAAATAAGAACCTAGCACAAAAGAGACATTTAGTAAACAGTTACCAAATAAATTATAAGCACACAAACTCACAAAAAAGTTCTGCAGCTACTGGGAGGGGTGGCATGCTAGTCCCACCCACTTGAGAGGCTAAGGTGGGAAGATCATTTGAGCCCAGGAATTCAAGGCTGAAGTGGGCCAATGACAGCACCATGGCACTCCAGCCTGCGGACAGAGTGAGATCCTGTCTCAATAAAATTAATTAATTAATTTTAAGGAAAAAAAAAAAAAAAAAAGAACGGCAGCTAAAGGGAAACGATAATAAAATGCCAAATATTTAAATAATTTAATTTTACATTTTAAAAAACCATCAACATTAAGTCAGCATTAAAAAATAAATTCCAAGTATGTCTTGTTTCGTGTTTGACATTTTCTTGGAAATCAGGTATAAACTTAACTTTTGCAAACTAAGTCACATGATAAAGCACTGGGAGACTCATTTACTTAAAGGGAGTCTTTCATAAAGTGAAGAAAACTCCAAATTTATCCCATATGAACTTAAATTTTCACATGACTTATAGGTTTTCCTTACAACAGAAGCCTTATAAAAAATAATTTTTGCCGGGCACGGTGGCTGACGCCTGTAATCCCAACACTTTGAGAGGTTGAGGAGGATGGATCACCTAAGGTCAGGAGTTTGAGGTCAAGCTGACCAACATGGTGAAACCCCGTGTCTACTAAAAGTACAAAATTAGCCAGGTATGGTGGTGCATGCCTATAATCCCAGCTACTCAGGAGTCTGAGGCAGGAGAATGGCTTAAACCTAGGAGGCGGAGGTTGCAAGAAGCCAAGACTGCACCATTGCACCCCAGCCTGGGCAACAAGAGTGAAACTCCAGCTCAAAAAGAAAATGTTAATGCCTACTCCCTCTTTCCCCAAAAATATGACTTGTTTAATATAAACCACATTAGCATTGCTTGACAAGTTTTCTTTTTATTCAGTCCATTTAATTCTCTAGACAACCTATAAACTCAAATGTCTAGAAACACCCAGAGTAGGCCCTTAATCATAATGTAAAAATTCCTCTCTAGGATGATTATTTGTTAGAATTCATGGACTATAATAAAGTTATAAACTTTAAAGAGCTTGTCTAGTGAGATGAGTAACTGAGTTACCTTGAAGAGAAGTTAAATAATTTTTTACTCACATAACAAAAGGTAAATTTCAAATAAAACAATCATGCTATATAAACCAATAATTTTAAGCAAAATTAAATGCCAACAGTGATTCAGAAACTAATTATGTTTTCCTTAATTTCAGAAATACAGATTTGATCAGATTTAAAAGGATTCATTTTCAAGGTGTATTTCAAAAAAATATTATTTCTAGTGACTCAATTTTCAAATACCTTGGCCTTCCACCATTTGGATTCAGCCAGTTACCAAGCTTGCTATTATTGCCTTTGGATTTTGGTACTGTTCAGTGCTGTTTTGGGTAACAATATAGCAAGCGCATCAAATTTTGCTTCTCCTGGTATTTTCACAGGTATTGCTTTTCTACTCTCCCGTAATATGCCTCAAGTTTTTAATATTAGGAAGTTTAAAAAAAGATTTTCAAATATGAATTTCGGACACACACACATGCAAAACTACTGAATATCTGTCAAAATTTGGCAATATGCCAGGAGCTGAGGAGAACACAATCACTGCCCTAGAGGAAATCTATAATTTTAACCCATAAACATTCACCAGAAAGACCCAAAGGACATATAAACATTAACCACATATACACTGAAGTAGTTACATAACATACCAATGAAGAACTAACTATGTTTTGCAGGGTTGACAGGTAAAGTGGGAATTATTGGAGTAGTATGTTAAGTAGTCAGGATTTCTGCGGCTGTTAGTACATTTCAACTAAGGGAAAAAAATTTTCCAACACAAGGTGCTGCATAAGAAAAAAGTCAGAGTGGTCTGAGTTGATGGAGGAGGAGCAGCTGTATGAATCTCTGTTTTAAAATCACTGCAATAGATTATGGTGTGAGCACTGTCCTGGAATAAAATAGACTAACTAGTCAGGTCTCATAGACAAAGGACAAAGAACCTGGTCCTAAACTAGAGTCAATGTAAAGCCACTCAAAATTGGTTCTCAGCTGCTCTGGATATGACCCAGATATTCTACTCCCAGGTATATACTGAAAACATATGTCCACATAACAAGTCACATATGAATGTTTACAGAAGCAGTATTCATTTTAGTTAAAAGGTGGAAACAACCCAAATGTCCAACTGATGACTGTATAAACAAAATGTGATATATCTATACAACGCAGTATGATCCAACCATAGAAAGGTAGGAAGTACTGATACATGCACTACATGGACGAACTTTGAAAACATTACATTAAATAAAGAAACACAAACGCAAAAGGCCACATGTTGAGTTAGTCCATTTATATGAAATGTCCAGAACAGGCAAATCCACTGAGACAGAAAGTAGATTAGCATTTGTCAATGGCTGGGGAGAGAAGGGGATGGGAGTGACTGCTTAATGGGTGTGGGGTTTCTTTTTGGAGTCATGAAAATGTTCTAGGATTAGACAGCAATGGTGGATGCACAGCTTTGTCAATCTACTAAAAACCACTATATTGATCACACACTTTTAAAAGGGTGAATTTTATGGTATGTGACTTATATCTCAATTTTTAAAAAGGAGTTCTCAGCATTTTTTCTGCTGCAACACATCTGAAGAACATAACATAACTCCATCAGTAAAGGCAGCTTACCACAGCAGGGACTGTTTGGGGACTTTGACAATAATAATATTACAGAATATTCAGAATCATGATACCATTAAGTCTTTAAGTATTAACGTTCAAACAACAGGTAAAAGCCATCTTTTAGTGACGTCAAGAGCTGCCGTTAGGTGACAGAAGATCACTAAAGATAAAATATATCATAGTAATTTCTAAGTAACATGACCAAGGCTACATAATCTGGTGTGAATGAAAGGATTCACAACATGTTCTGAAGGAGGAAAGGATAGTAGGAGTTTCATTTTCTAGCAGCGGCTAAGAATAGAAAAAGAGTAAAAAGACAATGAGGATTGGATCCAATAGTGAAAGGCACTACAACAAAGATTAACACCAGCCACAGGGAATAAAATGTATTTATCAACACTGATTTGGCATATGTAGTTCCGATCTAACAAATGAATCACATTTCAAATATTTGTAAATCAGAATTAGAACACATTCGCCCAGAGAAATTGTCAAAGTAGTTAAGTTTGCAAATGGCCTACAATAAGTATAATTTTTCATTCTTCCTGTTTTCCTAGCTGAAATCCAGTATGTCAGAAGCCCTGTCTCTACCTTCCATCTTTCCATACATCAGAGCCCCAACAAGAGAAATTCCATGACTTTCTAAACTCTAAGTAGCAAAAGAACTTCTTTCCCCCTCCAATTTGTTACCATCCATCAAGCTCAGCAGCAAAGGAAATTCTGACTCCTTACTCATGGAGGTAAGGCCACAGCAGAATCATCTGCCATCCAGAGCCACAGGCAAAACAGAGTTCTGCCATGGCAGTTTTACACATGAGAGAGTCTTAAATCAGAGACTCCTGGATTTCAGAGGCTGCTTGTCTTGAATGGCCAATGTTCTCATGATTGAAAACTGACATACACACAATTATGGTGTTCAGTGCAAATGCTGATAAATTCATCTCCACTGTTAAATAATGGAGACCTCGCCATGTCCAATGGGTGCAATGGAACATTTGTAGTGCATATATATACTACCATACATACAGCAAGAGCTCAAAAAATGCTGGCCAGGGAAAACAAGGGGAGAAGAAAGGGATGGCGAGAAAAAAATAACATCCACAGAATTTCCTGGGGTCTGCAGAAAACACAATTTTTAAAAATCCCTCTTGGTCCTATTCTTGTTGGAATGTCTTTCCTGATGAGATCTTCCTTGTCTTCTATGATCCAAATCAAACACTGTAAACTTTGAGGCTTTTCCTAAAAACCTTAAGCAGCTGGGGGCTTCCTTCTCTGTGCTGCCATAATACCTTGTATTAATTATTATGGTGCTTATTAAATTGCAACAATTTATTTACATGTTTGTTTCCCCAGTAGTTATCTCCTCAAATAATGGAATATTTTATTGATCTTTGCATTTCTGATACCTTGGACAGTGCTTAGCACATAGAAGCGTCCAATACTTGTTGAATGAATGTGCAACTGACTTCTTCAAATGCTCAAAGACACAGTAAAAGTAATAACTCATATAAACAAATCCCAAATGAATTGATTTGCCGGTGCTGTTACTAAAAAAAAAAAAAAATGAAATCTAAACATGAAATCTCAAAATAGCCTAAACAGTGGATCTGAATGCACTGAGTATCTAAGGAAGGTAACTTCAGCCACATGGAGATAAGAAGTACACAGTAAACACAGTCACCCCTCAGTATCCACAAGGGGCAGGTTCCAGGACCACTCCCAAAAATCCCCAGATGCTCACGTTTCTAATATAAAATGGTGTCCTATTTGCCCATAACCTACACATATCCTCCTGCACACTTGAGATCATCTCTAGACTACTTTGAACACCTAATACAATGTAAATGCTATGTCAACAGTGACACACAAAAAAATCTGTACATGTTCAGTAGAGACACAACTATCCTTCCTCCCTATACCCTCGACCATTTTCGATCCATAGTTGGTTGAATCTACAGATGCAGGACCTGCAGATACAGGGTACAAATTGTATTCTGCTTGTCCCTTTCTGTCACATTTTTAGAAGGTTATAAGAAATATTCTTTATTGTATACATGAATATTCCAGTGATAGAAATTACATGTTGTATTTGGCATTTCTGACATTTAAAGAAACATTTGAATCAAAATGAACTTAAGATACAGGGTTCAATCATAGTCAGAGGAGGGGAAAAGGTAACGGGATGCTCCAATGCAGACTGAATCAGAAGAGTCCTTTGCGCTGCCCACCAAATGAATGGTTCAGGGGAGTGGGAACAGGCACTACCCCATAAATCCTTAACATCTTGAGATAAATACAGAGGAATGGTAAGGTAGCATAAGACATGTTGGGTTAAGTAACTGATAGGTCTTTGGGAGTTACCAAGCTTTTTGGCAGTTGATAAGAACCAACGTTAAAGCATGAGACTAAAAAATATGGAAATTCAGAATCCTCTAAAGTAAAATGTTTTAGTGGTTGTTTGCCTAATCTTGCAAAAAATGTTATATTTATGTTCATAATTTTCGCTTCCTCAAATCATAATACTAGACAAGACTCTAAAGATTATCTGCTGAAACTCCCTTACTAAGGTCTTTAAGGGCAAATGGCTTGCCCAAGATCATACTGCTACCAGAGGCAGAATCTGAATTCAAATTCAGATTTCCAGGATTGCTCATCTAGAGTTCTTCCCACTAGATGAAGTGCTTCTACATGGTTTTCATTAGAGTTTAGTATTACACATACACACATACGTAGATACACAAGTATGTTTGTTTATATACATATAGACGCACCCATATATCTACATAAACAGTGTTATAGCACTTGAAAAAACTCGGGCACTTCAGTAATATACCCAGAAAGCACACCAGTTTATTGAAACAAATATTAATAGTTCTACAAGGCATTTGTTTTCTGAGTAACCCACTAGAAATCAAACTCCACAACTATGTTTATACTTATTTAATATATTAATTATATGAAGCATAATGGTTAAGAGCATGGGTGCTGGAATAAAAAACCAGCACCTAATCCTCTAATCCTAGCTGACATTTAGTTAGCTGTGTACCCATGGGCAAATTGGCTTAACCTTTCTAAGCCTCAGTTTCCTCACCTGTAAAACTGAAAAATAACAGAATTGACTTGATATACTTCTTGTGAGGATTAAACAGATGATAATCATAAAGTGCTCTGCCTAGGACCCAGTACTTAATTACTCAATAATTTAGCTATTATTGCCATTATCACTGCCTACTAATCTCTGGGTTCTCAGCAAATGTGCCCCAAAGAAAGCTGGCAGTATATTTCTCTCTCTCTCTCTCTCTCTCTCTCTCTCTCTCTCTCACACACACACACACACACACACACACACACACACACACACTCCTCACTCATAATTATCTATTTTTTGGAACATAGATTATAACAGATTAAAAACCCAATTTAAAAATTCCTTTTGTTTTTTTTTTTTTGAAGAAAAACAACTTATCTCAAATTGATATTTTAAATTCTCCAAACATCCAGTGTATATATTAGAATTTAAAAACAGATTGTTTTCTGTCTTCTAACGCTTTCCTATTCTTTAAAACAAAATGAGTTTGGC